ACCTGTGGGAGTTGCATTCTTTTGATTCTCCTCCCCATCGCTTCGGGAGTGAGTGAGCAGCAGCGTGGCTCTGAGTTACTGGCTGGCCTAAGCCACAACAGTTCTTTTTGGACAGTTCCTTGTTTCTCAGGGTGGATTCGTTCTTTTACAGTCGCATTTAGATCCATGTGCATGTATATATACTTAATACATAACAGCTGTAGGCATTATTATGAATTTCATAACACGAGCTTGTTCTTTTAAATTATTAGGGTCACAGTGATGTGAGAAGCACAAGAACGTGGTTCATGTTTTGCTTTCACCAAACAATTCACACAAATAAAGTTTTTCCTAGTCTCAGACTGGGAAGCCCCAGGCTGCTGAGTATTTGAGACACCTTCTGTTCCCCTAGTCTGCTGCAGCCTTGGATGAGAATGCAAAGCTGAAGACTGCTCATGTCCCTATTCAAGAACCAACTTAACATAATCATCTTTGAAAAACTGATTAAAGAGAGCAATATATCTATTTCTCATAGCTAGCATAAGCAAATACATGAATACAAGAAAATACAAGTATCGATAGAGATTACAGTCTGCAGCATTTATGCATGCTGTAATGCATTTTTGCAAGCCAGTCACGGTCTCCAGAGTCAGTCAGTGATGCCTTAACAACTGAAGTGAGTTGGTATATTGGTTCATAGCTCTCTGGCTATGAAGGTCCATCAATTGTATCGTACACTCAGTGCCACTTCCATGGTGCCATTTGAAGATGGCAGCTGCTGGAGGCCACAAGCCAATGAAAGCAAACACGATGACTGAAGTAAAGTGATGTATAAAAATTACTATCTGTGCTTCCCCCATAATTGTTCATAACCAAATTCTGCTTTCAGGACTGTAAAATCTCAGAAAACACGCTTTGTTCCTATCAAGTAAATGGTGTAGATTTGTCCTTTTGTGCATTTGTTACAAAAAGCCTTCAAGCTAGCAAGTTTTTTCTTTTAATATTTTTGGCTGACTCTGCCACCGATTTTCATTATGTGTGTCACTATTACTACCGTATAATCTGAACATAAAAAACATGGTGCTGTAACAAATGACTTCACAGCATTGACAGTTATAGCAGGACCATTTCAAGGCTGATGAAAAATTTCCCAGAGAGATCTCAGGTCAGGTTTACATAAGCTAAACAGGAAATGATTGCCACCATTCACATTAAATCCTAAATGTTTTGTGTAACTTCATCTACATTTTATGTTGCTGCGCGTCTCTCTGTCTTTCTCAGCTGATGAAATTCCACACTTCCTTAGATTAGAGAAATAAGTTCATGTTTCATGGTTTGTTGTTCTTGCTAAGCTCTACAAGGGTTAGGATTTTAAATATATTATTTAAAAGACAATAAAAGGTTCCTTCAGTTTTTGGTTGTTTAAATTGTACATACTTTGTAAATTTTTATGATTCCTAGGGGTTTGTTATTGCTTTTTCCCAGTGGACTACTAATAGAAGTTAGCCTGTCTAGCCCATGTGCTAGATGCTGTTAGGATAAAACTGCCTTTGACTTTCACACCTCTCAGGGGACGAGTAATTGTTGTGTTCAAACAGCCTGTAATTGTGATCCCGCTGGCTTTCTCAGTACGCTTCTGGCTATTAGAATCATTAAACAATTCAGCACCTGTTAACAGCATTGTAAATATTCAACCCTGCTTGTGTGCAGGTTGAGTCCAATATAGGAGAAGGCTTACAGAGCCCAGCCTCATAAATTAGAGCTTCTGACAAGTCAATTATTGTGAAACTGGGCTTCACTGTGAAATAAATGAAATGGTGTGCTGATAAAAAGGTAGGCTGTCTGTTTATAGCAAAGGGAAAATAATGACTAGATGATTCAATGCAGTGAGCATGAAACTGCATTGTTTTTATTCTTTATCTGTAATTAAATAGTTAGGTAATATAGCTTCATAGAGGAACTCACACACAATGCAGCTTTTATACTTGGAGCATACCAACATGCAAAATTCAACTTCTATTTATGCATTTCAAAATACTATCTAATGTCATGATCCTCTGTTTTCACTAATGATTTTAACATAGTCTTTCTAGATGAATGGCTTTGCATTTTTATTAGGGGAAGATGTGCTGAGTGACCAAGAATCTCCTGTGGGTGTGCTTAAAATTATACTTACCCCATTATAGATAGTAGCTAAAATACACTGGTACCACTTCATTCAAGGTTACAGACCATTTAAGATTTTTCCTTACATTACTTTATTTTCACCAGGCAGATAGATATTTACTCCTCTGATGAAAAAAAAAATACCAAAAATCAGCAAATTTAAAATTCACATAATTTTCAAAAGGCATTATGACTTTTATGATATGGCTTCAGTGTAAAATAGTGTAAATTAATTTGAGCCCAAGATAAAATCTGTTTGAATAAAACTGTCTTAAACTGCAAGCTCAAAAAAGAATTTGTTTGTTGCCCGTTTCATTTGTTTTATCAGTATTCATCATCAGTGTTGTGATACTGCAAATGACAGTGCTGAAATGACATGGTGAAAGTCTGAATACCGTGACAACAACACACCTTAATTATAATGATTTCAGTACTCTCATATTCAATTTGGAGGAAAATACTAATGAATCATTATTGGTTTCACTGTATGAAATAGAAAATCTTTTCACATTCTGAAACAACTTATGTAGTTAATTTGCTCAATTATTTTCAGAAGGTAAACAAAATTTTACAAAGTAATTTGTGATAATAAAGAGAATCTAAATGTGTTTCGTGAGAAGATGTCAGGCAGATAAAAGGTGAAGATGGAAGTATTGTCCATTTTTTATCATTACTGTATTACTTCAGTAAATTTAAAGGGGGGGCTCATTAAAATTAAGTTGCATTGAAAACAGTATTAAAGTATTTCTGCTACAAATGTTTTCTTCACAGAAGTCTAACAGTATATGGCTGTCTACCATGTAAAACTTTTTAGTCGATATAAATATTCCATTTGTTTAGGTTTGTTTTGGACACTAGCTATGTTTTAAATATTTGAGGTCATCTCAGCATGAATCTGTATACACTACTATTACAGAGTTGAATACTCCACTGCCATATATATATACGCTTTATTGTTGTCTAATGTAGCTATTTTCTGCTATCAGAACAGATTTTTTTCAATTCCTTTCCTATGGTAATAGTGTGTTACTTCAACCTCACCCAATTCTAACTGAATGTTCAAAGCATCAGAGATTTAACCCTATAATTTGGGATTAATAAAAAGGAAAAAAATCTGGAAATGACTGCACTGCTAGTTAGCATGCAAGCTTTTTTCAGTTACTCTATTTCTGTTCAAAAAGATAAATGTTTAAAACTCTGCTTGAGAAAATAGTAATGCAAATCAAATTCCATTAATAAAACAGACAAGAAAGGATGCTTGTACTATATAAAACCACAATTCCATCTTTTGAAATTTGTTAACAGCAGATTTACAGTAATCGAAATAGAACTTAAATCAGAGAATGGGATTCATGTGCCCAAATATAGCATCAACAACTAAACTGATTATCTAAAGTTTTGGGGCTTTTTGGCAGTGATTACATTTCAACTCATCCTAAAGCAGATATATAAAATACTTCAGATGAATAACATTCTGCATGTGCACACTTCTCTCCATTGGCCGTAAAGCGAGTTAAAAAGACTAACTCTCATAGCTGTAACTATGTAAGATCAGCTAAAATGAATCTCAACAGACTGTTTTGCAGCTTTTTGTTCACCTGCAGAAAATAACACTGAAGGAACCTACTTTCCATTACTGCATATGGTATTGTTTCCAGTGGGGATGCTGAGTACATCATAACTAGGAAATTCTAGTAAAGCAGCCAGCATGAACAAAGGAGCTTCTTTCATCACTGAAGCAATCCCAGTACTCTATTTGTGCAATAGTATTTTACAGAATTAAATGAGCAGAGACAGCCTTTTTTACTGTGCTTTGTAACATTTTTGATAAATCTTTTTTTGTTTGTTTGAATTCCACTTTGAAATTGCATGATATAATTACTCCTAAATTCAGACTTTTTAAACTTTCTGAGCATGCTCTGTTTTTCTCTGCTGCTCATTGAACTTAATTGTTACTTTCTGAATCGGTGCCTTTGTTGAATCTAGGGCACAAGTTCTAACTACATATTTATCTAGAGTTTTTTAGGGAAAACCTCTCCCTGAAATTGTGTTTGTGTGAGTAAGAATCTTAATACCACTTAAATTCTACAGTTAAGGAATGCAAACTTCAGTCACTGGGTCTTTTTTTGTATTCTAGCATAACAATACGTTTTGGCATATTTATAAACATTTTTCCTTCATATAGATAACTAAGAACCATTACTACTATATATAGTTTACTTAAACAATTTTTACCTGAAAATGAACATGTGAAGTAGGCACATTGACAAATACCCTGTTCCCTTTTTTTTTTTTTTTTTTGCTATTTTAACTTTGAGAATAAAATGACACAACACCAACATTTGGATTGGTATAAGATTACTTTTTCAACAGATGTCACTATATGCCTAGTTTTTATTTTCAGAGTTACAGGATGTAAGGACAGTTGCAATCCTTGGTTTTCTTCTTTCTCGTGAAGTTAAAATGCTGTTAATCGTGTTAGCATTGCTTTTTCACTTTCATACGTATATGATCAGGAAAACATACATATGCAGCCAGGAAAATTTTCCCACTAACAAAATATGGTCAGTCCAGCTCTGTTCGTATCAACTTTTCTATTAATAGACAAATTACCATTTTTCCATATGTACATGCTTGCATTATGTTGGTTACTCCCACAGACCATTTAGGAATCATAAATTTCTTATTAGACTATATAAGGGAATAGTTTTGTGTTTAATTGTTTGGATATTTGCTGTTCCAAGTATGTGTGTGCATTACAGCAGCATTGTGGGTTTTCCTACAAGGCATTATTGTTAAAAATCTTCAGAGTGTAAAAAGTATTCATGTAATGCATCTGTTTTCAATTTATCTAGTTACTATAACTTGGATGATGTGAGCCATGACACTATGAATAAGTACCTCTCAAGCCTTGTTGAGAAATCCCTCTTTGATTTGGAATGCTCCTACTGTATTGAAATTGGGGAGGTAAGAGTAATCTGTGCCTTACAAAAATCAGTAAGATACATGCTTCTAGAAGTTCAGAACAGCAAGATACATGCTTCTAATTTGAGATGTTAATCTATGGAGCTATTTGTAAGACTTACATTGGAAACTGATCTTAATTGGGGTTGCAGCTAAATTATGATGCTAAATCATTTCTTGCTGTTCTCTCTTATAAAGTAGTCTTAAAATATTTTACAGTTTTGTAGGAACCATTTATATTGAATTGTGTAGGAACCATGTGTATTTGATTCCTCTTCCAACAGGATAATTGCAGTATTGAACCTCTGGCATATGGCCGCATTGCTTCCTATTACTATTTGAAGCATCCAACTATTGGAATGTTCAAAGATCAGTTGAAACCTGAAAACAACATTGAAGAATTGCTCTTAATTCTGACAGTAAGTGCTGATATTTTCTGAACTGAAACATAAGTCATGACTCTTAAAAGACACAAGTGTATGAAAAAACACCCCAAAATTAAGAAAAACCTTTCTTCATGATCTGCAATTTCTTTTTGTTTGTTTCGAGTAATACAACTGAATCATTTTTGTTGTTTCAAGAGTTTTATCTAAACCATACATCAAAATGTATTTTTCTCTTATGTCCCTTTATCGTTTTCAGGATCTATACAAATCTTGTATTTGTTTTTCTCTAAGTAAGTTAGGTATAATTCTAAAATGCCAGAATAATAACTGCATATCAACATCCTAAATCTGTACCAGGACCTTGTACTTTGGACTGGGACAATCTGGAAGATACAGCAGCTTTAAAAAGCAGAGAAGGCATATGGGGAAGACCTGTTTCCTAAAATGCCTTCTTTTCCTCCTCCCAGCTACCTGATGATCTCTGAGGTCATAACCTGTAATAATGCTATACACTGAGTCTAGTGACTGTTTAATGGAGAAGTGCAATACAAGGCAACAGATTTTAGGGTACAAATCTGGAGAATCGGTGTATAATGCAGCATGATAGTAGCATATTCTGATCATAAAAGAATTAGGTTTTACTACATTTTTTTAAGTACTTAAATAATTATATCTGCAAAATCTTTTTCAGAATAGTGTTACTTCACTTGTACACACATATTAAAAGTAACAAGTTCCTTAATATTATCCAGGAAAATTTATTTCTGCCCATTCATGATGATAGTTGCTGTTATATACATCATACAAGTGGCCCAAATTCTGTAATATTCTGATTTCCAAGTGCAAACTTCAAAACACAGAGTCCTATCTTACAGTATTTATATATGTTACTTTTATACTATCTATTGCTTTGACATACCACCACAACTTCCCTGAGGGGAGATACAAGAAGAAAAATAAAACCAATGCTATTCAACAGTTTGCATCTCAGCAAAACCAGATCAGTGTTTTATGACACTAGGAAAGCCACTTTTCTAGTACAGAGACTTTCTTTCTGATAAATTTAAATCGCCTGCTGCAAACATTCGGAGTGTTATGGCTCAGAAATAAAGGTCACAGTAATCTTTTATAATGGAAAGTGTTATACAGCCTAAACAGGGGAATTGCTATCACTGACCCTGCAATATCTCTTATCCTGTTGTTAGAAAACATTGCAAATTATATGAAATAAAATTCAATGTATTTGGCTGAATTCAAAATGGCAATCAACCACAATCCCTATATATACTTTGTGTAAGGTAATTGGGAGTTTTAGGAAGAAATAACCACTATTGAACAGAAGTTAAATAATATAATGTTGAGTTTTCAAGGTGACAGCTTTACTGTAGCTGCCATCTCATTAAAATCTCCTTTCCCTAGAGAAAATTTTCTCCACCTAGAAACTTCAGATTTTTTTTTTTTCCCCCACACAAATTTGGACGGGGAAAGTTTGAAAATAGTATTAGCAGAGATGGGGAACATTTCATGACGCTGCTAAGCTAGTGAGCAGCATATGTAAGATGAATGATGGCAGCAGAAGCCAGTGTGGCCTAGCTTCTATGTTCATCTATTTGAACAGCTTGCATCCATGAAGCACAAAAGTAAATGGCAAATATTTCTGTTGTAGACAAAACATGGGACCCTACTGTTGGGCAGAGATTGCAAAATTTAAAAATTATTAGTCTTGCTTTAATTCTATTTTTACGTCTTTTTTTCTTTTTTCCAAAATATATGTAGTCTTGGAAGTTGTCCATTTGGAGTCCTAAGAGGAATTAGACTAAAAATAAAATTGATTAGGGGTCAAAATATTCCATGTGTCAATTTGAAAGATGAAAGGGATTTATGAACGCTGGATGCCATTATACCTGACAGGTTTTCCTTACTTTTTATGCAGATGTCGATTTTCATAATTAGTAGTGGAATTACTATTCTGTCTTGTTAAAGGTGTAAATTGAAAGGGAGGTTTTTTTCAGTCTGATGTAGGGTTGAAAAGACTTCAACAGTAACTGCCAAGGATTTTTTTTTTTTTTTTTGGTCCTAAACACTATGAATTAATGAGTTTTATAATTACAGCAGTTGCTTCACACCTCTATTGTTAACCAATGACATTACATCTGCCTTGCTCCACTGGTGCCCTCCTCCTTATTGAAGCATTTAGCAGTTTTGGCAATAGGGAATTACATGGCATGGGGTAAGTAGTCTAATTAGGTATAAGTGAAAATCCTTAGGGAAAAGGATATTTAAAAAGTAATTTGAAGAATCTCTTAATGATGCTGGGACTGAACGCTGTAGCTGTAGAACAAAAAGGCCTGTTATCATTGCAAAACATGATTATAATCGTGATTATTCTGCTAAGCATTCAGTTTTAAAGTTTTGAATTTTGGACTCTGTTACTTATGAATAAGCATCCAAACCATTTCTCAAGTAGATTTGCAGGATTTTGTAGATGTGACATGTAGGTCTTTGGTTTGTTGTTTTGTTTTTTTTGCATTGTTCATAATCCTGGAAACCTTTAGACATCTACAAGTTGGCTGGAACATATAAGGAAGGCAGAAGTGTACAACTGTAACAAAGAAAATACTGCTCCTGTGGATTTGAAATGGGATATATTCAAGTTTTTACTAAATTGTCAATGTGTACATTGAAAAGAGCAAGACTTACTTTAAAACAAAACCAGGAAAAAATCAAGATTGCATTCAAGAATTCAGAAATTTATAATTGTATTCAGGGTTTTAAATCTGAGTTTGATTAAGGGATTTGAGTTTCAGACTGATATTTTGCCATGCTGATGGGAGCATTCAGAGTTCAGGATCATTCACCAATGAGTTATTAAGGAATCTTTGCAACTCATGAAAAAGTAGTTTTGAGTCATCCTGTTTCTGGTGCTCATGGATTTCTCAAATAAGTCAGTTGATAGCAAGATTTGTTTCCACTTAGAAGTTAAGACCATTCATAGTCTTCTCCAGTATCTGTTCTCTTCTCTGTTTTTACTTTATCTTTTCATTTGATCATCTGTCAGCATTTTGCAAGATGAAATGTTTTTTCTTTTTCAGTATGGTTTAGGGGTTGAAGTATCCGTAACATGAACAGGAACATGGCACATGGGAACAGCCTCATAGTCATGTTAGAAGTATACCATAATAAGTGATAAGAATAGGTAGGGTACAATCCTCTCATGTTTTCCCTTTTCCTCTCAGTAATAAATCTGTGCTCAAGATATTTTTCTTGGGTTTGCAGTTAGCAGGTGAAGTTCAGATTCAGTTACTTTTGTAACTGACTTGTACTAGTGGACCTGTGTTTTTTCTTAGAGAAAATGTTTGGAGCTTTTCCATAGATTTCTTTAAAACTTTCCTAACCATGCTTCAGACAGTAGTAACCCAAATGAGCTTATTCACTGTTGAGTGAACAGACAAAACTGATACTTTGGGGTCATTTTTGTCATTTTCTGTACTAAAGTAGCAGTCACAACAAATGTTTTCAAAAATTAAATGCAGATTTGTACCTTGAGGAAAGGAGGTCTGTTGATGGCTGATCAGGACTGTGATGTCTAGGTCCACTAGTGTTATGATTTTGGGTGATTTGTTACTCAACTTGTCTGATTATCTGGTTAATATTCTTACTTACGGAGCAAATACTTTGTCATATCTGATCATACCAGACAGTAAAGTGGAGAACATTACCATCTTTCATCCCTTGTTTTATGTGCATGTTATCCATTATTTCTGGTTTTGAATTCTACCTACAAGAGAGAACTGCTTGGTTTTCTTGTGCCTACTGCTGTCTTTCATGTGAACTGGTTGCAGGAGATGGGTTCCTTTCTTCCTGGGGAGCTTCAGAACAGAACAATATGGTATTTGTGTTACAGTGGGACATATGTATCCATCTTTCTGTGATACAAACATGGGCTTATAAGTTTGGTATCCACATACCTCCTCCCTATATTTCTATCTGATAATTGGCATAGTTTTGTTACACTGGCTTGTATTAGACTAAATATTTTGGAACTCAGCAGAATATCTGGCATTGCTGGAATCACAGAAACGTAGAACGAGTTTCATGAAACAGGCACTCTCCATCCCAGATACATAGGTAACAAAATAGTAAAGTTGTTAATGCTTTATCTGTCTTTCATTACCTGTTAGGCATTTGTACTCTGAGATTCTAATGACTTAACCTATAGCTTTACTTTCTGTTCATCATCATTGGTACATCCAATTACAAAACTAGTCCAAGGACAAGCTAATGTGAGCTGTTTTGTGGAATATTTTCTCTGCAAGCCAGGGCAGAAACATTGATTTAGGGTTTTTTAAGATATTATATAAAATTGATTTTCTGTTCTATAGCCATTTCAGAAAAAAAGTTAGATCGCTCTTCCTAAATCAGTGATTTTTCTAGTTTAAATTCACAAAAAAAGATGCAACTATGATTTTCTTCAAAGCATAAAAGTTGAGCAAGACTATATTTGTTTGTTTCAGTGTCAAGAGTAGAAATAATTTATTATGTAAACTTTATTGCAGATGAAAAGCAGTTATGTTACATGCTAACCTTTAAAGCACTTACATATTTAATTTCACAGATACTGTGCATTCTTAACAATGTGAACATGATTTCTACCTAGAACTGTTCAGTGCATAAATTCCATCCTGAAGACAGGCATTTCCAGGATCATTTACTTAATTTTTATAAATCTTATATTCTCTGAATTTTAATATTTTGAAACATTTCTGATTCAGTTCCTGCTTGGAAACATCTAGATAGTATCATAGTGTGTTTTATAAAATAAGTTTAAATTTGAAAATTATGTTTGGCTTCATGAAAATAAACCAAAATGCTACAGTGAATTTTAATAGCATCTGAATGTCATCATCTATGTCCAGTATATTCAAAGTATCTTGTACTTAGCAGAAAGAGAACTTATGCATATGAATACTCATACATTAAATTTGTCTTGACTTTTCTTTAGTCCCAGTAGATGGAGCAGTTTTGAATGTTGC